ATGTGCCAGCAGCTGCCCAGGCTCCGCGTCCTGTGAGTGGCCCACACGCTCCCCACGCCCCGCCTGGTGCCCTGGGTCCCGTGGGCTGCGGAGGCCCCTCCTGCTTTGTCCCACTCGGTCACCTCTCTCCCTGCTGCTGCTGCTGAGAGAGGCCGGAGAGAAACGGGGCTGTCCTCTCCCGTTCAAGGCGAAAGACAGTGGTCTTGGGGCCAGGCCTGGGTGTGACCCCAGCTCTGCCGCCAACCACCTCTCAGAGCGTCACTTTCCTCATCCGCAGAATGTGGATGCAGTTGTGGGGGTTGGAAAAACATGTGTAAAGCACCTGGCACATAGTAGGAGCTCAATACAGGCCACATGGTAGGTGCTCAATCTAGCACATAGTAGGTGCTCAATACAGGCCACATGGTAGGTGCTCAATCTAGCACATAGTAGGAGCTCAATACAGACCACATGGTAGGTGCTCAATCTAGCACATAGTAGGTGCTCAATACAGACCACATGGTAGGTGCTCAATCTAGCACATAGTAGGAGCTCAATACAGGGCTTTATTACCCTCGTTCACACAAGACACCCCTTCTGGAACCATGGAGGTACTTAAGGGGACCAGTGTTCCTCCCCACATCTGTGCCTCAGTTTCCTCCTGAATAAGGTAAAGGGGTCAGATAGTCCATAAGGACACCGGCTCTGTCATCCACACGGACGGTGACAGCAGGTGCTGTCCACGGGGCTGGCACTGACCAGCTGGCTGGGTCATTCCTGGTCCACCCATCCCCTGCACCCCCTCTCTGCCCCCTCTCTCTGCTGGGAAAAGTGGGGCTCAGCAAGGGATGCAGACGAGTCGATTGAGGACGGGGCTCTGGTGCGACGTGTATCAGCAGCCGCGTCCTCGCAGGGCCCACCTGTCTCGGCCGCCTGACGGGGAAGTGGGGCTCTGGCCGGAGCGGCTCCCCGGGCCCGACGTGACCCTGGCCCTGGCCTCTCTCCCCCCAGGGAGCTGTCTCATAACGGGATCGAGGAGCTGCCCAGCCTGCACAGGTGTCAGAAGCTGGAGGAGATGTGAGTGGGGTCGGGGCGGGGGGCAGGACGAAGGCACGTGAGCCGATTCCGGCCGGCCTGTGGGGAGGGCTCTGCACGCTGACCCTTCTCTGTGGGCGTGGAACCCAGGGGTGAGGGCTGGGAGCAGAGGGCGGGCCCGGGAGCCGGTGCCTGAAGGCCTCTCCTTGGGTCAAGGGCAGCACCGCGGCCACCTGGTGGTGATGGGGTCAGGGCCGCGTCGGGCTGGACAAGGGAAGTGTCAGGGGACCGGGAGAGCCCGGGAAGCGTCAGGGGACCTCTCAGAGCACAGTCGGTCGTTGTCCAAACACTCACGTGTGCATGCGTGTGCCCGTGCACACTCACGCCCTCACGCCCACGGGAGGAGACCCGAGCCTCCTGTCTGTCCCCACCACTCAGCAGGGCGACCGATGCCTTTGGGGCCCAGGTCGGGGGTGTCAGGGTCTGCCCCATTTGTCTAGGTCCGTGGTCGGCAAACTGGCCCCTTGAGTGTGGCTCTTCCACAAAATACCACGTGCGGGCGCACACGTACAGTGCGATGGAAACTTCGTGGCCCATGCCACGGGGCCAAAGAGCCGCATGTGGCTCGCGAGCCGCGGTTTGCCGACCACTGGTCTAGGTGCCCAAGGAAGAGGGTCTGCAGAGCTGAGGCCCGGAGTCCCCCAGTCCCCGAGTGCCTCCCTTCAGACAGCCAGTCCCCTGAGCCACTGCCCGGCTGGGGCCGCTCACAGCCGCCCGAGGGCTGGGCGGAGCTCTGGTGCTGGACCAGGGTCTGGAGGACCCGCAGGGCGAGGTCCGCTGGGCGGGGAGCCGCGCCCGCTGGGAACCCTGGAGACTGACTCCCTTTCGGGCCACAGGGACCCTGTTGTGTGGCTTTGTCTGCTGACCCACTTACCCGAGGCACCGGATCCCTTTCATGCTGGCGACTTCCGAGGGCGGGCCCTCTCTTCCCAAGCCAGGAGCAGTGGGGGCCTGGGGGCTCTCCTCTCTTCTGCCCAGAGCACGGGAAGGTGGGGGGCGGGGTGTGGCGTGGATCCAGGGTCTGAGCCCACTGGTCACTCAGCCTGCCTTGCTGCCCTAGAGGCCTCCAGCACAACCGCATCTGGGAAGTCAGAGCCGACACCTTCCGCCAGCTGAGCTCCCTGCGGGCCCTGTGAGTAAATGCAGCTGGGCGGGGGGGC